CCAGGGGAGCTGCCTTCCAAAAAAATCCCTGCAACCATTTTCATCTCGAATTTAAAACTTGCCAGGTCGCAGGCAGTTTTTATTTGGGGAGATATAATTTGATCTCTTTTTTACCATAAACTGAGCATTTTTAATTTACAACCAAGCGCTGCTTCCACATTCAAGGCATAATTAGACCCACGCTAATAAATCCCCTGGTTTTGGTGGTGTGGGAGGTAACGTTGTGAATCAGCACCCAAATCAAGACCTGGCCATGGAAAAGGGCCTCGGCTCCTTTCTTCCTCCTTAGTGACCACTAACATTTTCTGGACTGGCTCAACACATCTTCCCAGTGCTATTTAAGAGTTCAAATAAAAACCACTTCTGGCCACCATAAGACTGGGCTGCTGCTCAACGCACAGCTTGAAACCCCAAAATCACTGTGCCCCATCTCTGGCACCTTAAAAGCTGCTGGGTATTTCTCCAACTGCAACTCTTTGGTTGCATTATTTTGGTTTTAAGTTATTTTTATGATTAAGAGCCCTTTGGAGACCACAGCAAAAAGGTGGCATTTTTTTCCCCAAGAAAGAGATGGCACGGGAGTCAAATACAAATGCGTATGTGTCCTTGTTGATAATGTTTAATTACGTTGATTATTCTACTGACCCTGCTTTTTTCCTAGACTTTCTACCTTCTCGTGGCTTCCCAAAAAAACATTGCCTAGTGGGTCAAAATTTTATCCATACAGATAATCTGTTGCCCGCTTTATACTGCCCAAAGAAAAGCAAAAGGCGTTAGCAAGACCGAGTCTTCACCTATGCCCAACTTTCCTTTCTTTAATGTCTTAAAATAACTCTAAAGACCAAGCAAACCTTGCTAGATGTGACGGTAAAATTCCCCTCCAAAATTCAGGCTAGAGAATGCAACCTTAAAATGTATCTCCAGACTAATTTGAGTAATTTTCTTTGTTAAGCCCGACCCCGAAGCCGACCAAAATACCTTCCTGAAGAGAATGCAGGGAAGAAAAAAGGGATTATGAAATCACCATGTAAAAATGTGCCCAGAATTTCTCTTTCCTTTTCTCCTTCTTTCACCTTATAAAATAAGAAAGTGATTTTTAAAACTATTTGGACCAATTTCTGGTCATAGGACCCCAGGGTGCCTAATGAAATTAAAAGCTCCGAGATCAGGATCAGCACAAGGCATCAGGGCTGAGATTTTTTGGGATAGTGAGATCCTGAAATACAGGTCTGGGTCGTTTAGATGTGTCAGTGAGTCCCCCAGAAAAGTGGGATAATAAATAGAAATGTGATTCTTTTTCTTCTTCTCCGTGGCCTCTCCTCCATCAGCGCCAAATTTCCCTTCACTTTCCCTTTTCCTAATAAACTCATCTCTCAGAAAATAATAATTAAAAAAAAAAAAGACATAACATAAAACAGCTCAAAGGAAATATCTGGAATTCATGAGCCAAACTTCCATTTCCCCATCTTCCAACAAATTTTCCACATTTTACACCCAAAGCAATGTGGGGAAGAACGTTGTGGTCCTGCACACCCATGGTCATCTCCATCGCAGCCCCTAAATCCCGACGGAGCTATTTGCAGAGCCAAGCAGGCCTTTACATGGGAGTTCAGTACCTCATTTCTTGCCTCTCCAGGCCTACCCTAAACTATATATATATATATATGTGGTTGGGTTTTTTTAATTGTGGGCCTTGAGGGTAAATTTGAAATGGTGGTTTTACAGAGAAATCACACGTGCAGGCAAGCAACCCCAGCACCACGGGGACCCCTTTGGTGTTTTGCAGCGACATCTCAAATACGCCCAATTTCTCCCTCCTCACCCTACCCAAAGAGGGGTGTTTCCCCCCAGAATTTAAGGGGAGAAAACTCCTCTCTCTCTCCCATCCCAAGCCTGGCTGTGCTCACCTATGTTGGCGTGCCGGGCGGTCGCGGGCGTCCCTCGGCTCTGCAGGTTGTGCAGCATGGGGCTGTCGAAGGGTGAAGAAGTCCAAGTGGTGGCCATTTCAGGACTCATGTAAGCCGGGTAAGGGCTGGAGTAGGAGCTGCCGAACCCCCGGCTGTACTGCTCCCTCCCGTTAGCAGAAAGGTTCAAGGAGCTGCTATAAGCCGCTGCAGCTTCCCGGGAAGAGGTAGCAGGGATGGGGGTGCTGGTGGAGAAGGAGAACCGAGGTGACACAGGGGGGTGAGAAGATCCGGGGTTGTAAGCGGCGCTTTCGGCTCCAGGTTGAGTCCAGATGGAGTGGCTGGAGACTGGGCTGCCTTGCTGGGAAGAGCCGCTGCTCTGGAGGTAAGGCAGGCTGGGGAGCATGGAGGTGACCCTC